CCGCCCAAATCTCCCGCCAAGATATCCCGCCAAAAAACAGCAGTGATGCCAACAGAATTACCACCACACCCAAGTAAACCTTCATATGCAAAAAAAAGACTTATTTTACGAATATATAAATAACATAAGATCTATACCGTAAATTCACCAGGTATATAGACAATGCAGGTATATAATTAGACCATACAGGTATACACCCAATATACATAGTGCAGATGATAATTTGTATAATAAAAGAATGAGAGACTAATAATGGGGAGGGAGTTAATGTGTAACACAAGAGGATGGAAGGTGATATGTAAGAGGATTGGCAACGCTGTGGGCCCAAAGAAGGAGATTTGGCCTCGTCAAAAATAGCTATGAAGTCGACAGGAGTTTGTAAAGTTAAACTGTTATCATGTGAGCTGGGCAGTTTACTCACGTTCTGCTGACAGGGCTTCTGTCCCATCGACCTTATGGACCCAGCTTCCTCTTCTTCCTCCTCTTCCTTCTTCTTCCTTCTTCTCTTCCCATGGTCTTCCTATATCCTCCTGCTGTATAACACGTGCTTTGGGTCTGCTGGTATTGGCTAGGGTATACTAAGGTCTGCTGGGAGCTACTAGGGTCTGCTGGGTTCCGCTGGGGTCTCATGCAACTTGTATTAAATGATAATATTCTACCAAGAAAGAAGTCACGCGCGCGCGCGCGTGTGTGTGTGTGTGTGTGTGTGTGTGTGACCTCAAACAAGCTAATCTCTTCTCGTCCCCCCACACACACTCATCATTCTGTCACTTTATGTAACTTGCTGACAAAACCCATGACCCTTCAGGCCCTTAATGCATGAGTCATAAAGGCAGCATGAACTCCGCATGCTTCCCTGTTGGGCGCTGTAAGCGCTTCTGCGCTTCACCTTGCACAGGATGTAAGGGGGTGCCCAATAAACTAGCCCCCTCCGGGGCAGTCTGTAACCAATACTAAACAATCTTGGCGTGGTTATGAGGTCATGTGAACCACTTTCTAATGGGTAGGATATTAGAGAATTATTTATATTATTATTTCAGGGTTGAGCTTCGAGATTGATGTCATTAAAGAACTTGAGGTATAATTTTGGTTTAATATTTACACTGGTGTAGGTTAGGTTAGGTTGGTGTAGGTTAGGTTAGGTTAGGTTATGGATTGAGCGTCTACAGGCATATAGTTGAGAGAGAGAAAAAATATATACAACTTGATATATGAATGATGGTATAAAGATAGATAGATAGATAGACCTTGGGTGCCTCTTAAAGACGATGTTCTCCTCTAGGAAAATATACTGAAATATGTGACTCGTTTAAATTCAATAATTAACAGGAAGTTGTGCGTCTGGGAAAGTGTGGTGGCTGAGGAGGAGGTGGTGGAGGTGAGGGTGGTGGAGGTGAGGGTGGTGGAGGTGAGGGTGGTGGAGGTGAGGGTGGTGGAGGTGAGGGTGGTGGAGGTGAGGGTGGTGGAGGTGGGAGGGGGTGTGGAGGTGAGGTGGTAGGAGGGTGGTGGAGGTGGGAGGGGTGGGGGGGTGGAGGTGAGGGTGGTGGAGGAGAAGAGGTGGTGGGGAGGAGGTGGTGGAGGTGAGGGTGGAGGAGGTGGGAGGGTGGGAGGGGTGGTGGAGGTGAGGGTGGTGGAGGTGAGGGGTGGTGGAGGTGAGGGTGGTGGAGGTGAGGGTGGTGGAGGTAAGTGGGGGGGAGGAGGTGGTGGAGGTGAGGGTGGTGGAGGTGAGGGGTGGTGCAGGTGAGGGTGGTGGAGGTGAGGGTGGTGGAGGTGAGGGTGGTGGAGGGAGAAGAGGTGGTAAGGGGGAGGAGGGTTGTGGGGGAAAAATATCTATTGTCGAAGTATTAATATTTCTTGTAACACTTACTATTTTTACAGTAATTGCTTTTATTGTACCATCAAAACCGTTTTATCGGAAATTATCATGTAAATAAATAAGTAATTACCATTGCAATAAACATAATTGCCAACTAGACATAATCCTGACAGCTCTGTCCTCTTGTTCAACCTTATTACTGTACAACCCAGGTTGTACTGCTCCCCCATTATACTTATGTTTTTAAATTCCACTATAATTTATATATATATATATATATATATATATATATATATATATATATATATATATATATATATATATATATATATATATATATGTGTGTGTGTGTGTGTGTGTGTGTGTGTGTGTGTGTGCGCGCGTATACGTATATGTATGTGTAAAATAATAATACAAAAAATAAAATAAAATAAATAAATATTGAAGTGATAACCGTGGTAACACTATGAGATGTTCTTATTACTACCATGCTATTGTACTATTCCAGATGATGCTAAATGTTAATAGTGTTATTATTATCCACTCTGTATCTGTGTTTTTCTGGCTAAATAAACTGTTACGATTCAATGCTTATAGGAAGGAGAAAGAGGGAGGTGGAGTTGAGGGGTAAGGAACGGGAGACAACGCTAGAGGAGGGTGTGTGGGGGACGCTGTGGGGTGAGGGACGGGAGGGTGTGGGGCGCTGGGGTGAGGGGACGGGAGGGTGTGTGGGGGACGCTGTGGGGTGAGGGACGGGAGGGTGTGTGGGGGACGGAGGGGGTGGTGAGGGACGGGAGGGTGACGCAAGGAGCTCGCTGCCGTCTCACACAAAGTTCCCCAAAGTTCAGTCATAAAACCAGGATTAAAATTACTGGAGCTTTAATTCGTTTATACATGAGATGTTTATGTGAGGCGGATGAGGGTGTTTGTCGCCGTAGATGTATGACCAATGTGGTTTATTTTGTTTGGTTTAAAAGATTTGGTAGAGAGGTTACGGTAGTTTGATTTCATTTTGTAAGAGTCTTATAATATTGTACTAAGACGTTATAATACTTTGTTAGTATTGTTTTGGATACCTGACAGGAAGATCTGTGTAGTTATGTTTACGTTTCATTCCGTTCGTGAGCATAAAGCCAACTGTGACGGATTTATTAATAGTGTTCGTTAAAATGTACTTTTACTTTACTTTACTTTTATCCTCTTCACCACTGATCGGCTCGTTAGCCGCTTGGGCGATCGGTCACGTCTCTGATTACTTTTCCTTTTCTTTCATGACAGTGGCATCTGTGTACATTATATACGTCACATATCATTATCATTCAATTAATTACACCCCGTACGAACGAATTATTACAATTACAAGGAAAAGTACAATAAGTACAGTAAGTTAGGTCATTATATAACTTGAACTCAGAAACTAATTAAAAAGTTGAAATGAATGCAATAAAAAAAGTTATTCAAAGGAGGTTTGAGCGGACGCGGCGAGGGCTATGGGGGGGTCAGAGAGAGGGGCTCCAGTCATCTTTTTTATTGTCTCCAACTCCAAGTTTAAATTATTGAGGGAGAGAGAGTTATCCAAGCAACATCCAGAGCACAAACTTTCACCGTGGGAAATTTTAATCACGGGACGATAAACTGGGTGAATCTTACCGCATAACTTGAGGGAGAAGAATTCACTGACCTTATTCAAGACTCATTCCTCACACAGCATGTATTGGTGCCCTCGAGGGAAGACAACATTCTAGATTTATTTATACTCGTTCATTTAAACTTCATCTCGTAAACACCGCCATTATAGCTCACCCTACACCCATTAAACTCATTTTCATTAGAAGACGGCCATTTAAATTACTACGTCGTTTACACTATAAAACCCATTTAAATATCTCCGTGTGAACTTTATCTTAAAAAATTGTCAGTTAAGATAATTTATTAAACTATTTTTTTATATAACTTTATTATCGTCTGAACTAATCTATTAAAGCTCTTTCGCTCAAACGTAACTTTGTTTCTGTTAGTTAAAGCTCAGAAATAGTCGAGTACAGATTTTAACTTTACTTTAAACACAAACTGTATTATTGACATATCGAATAATTACATAAGTTTCCCCATGATCCATTCTCTATGATGTCATAAGAGAAACTGTGAAACATATGTGGGTATTCTATTATATTGTGATCACACTGTAGAAACTGGCCCACTGACCCATACTGTAGGCACTGAACCACACTGTAGGCACTGGCCCACTGACCCACACTGTAGGCACTGGCCCACTGACCCACACTGTAGAAACTGGCCCACTGACCCATACTGTAGGCACTGAACCACACTGTAGGCACTGGCCCACTGACCCACACTGTAAGCACTGGCCCACTGACCCACACTGTAGAAACTGGCCCACTGACACATACTGTAGGCACTGACCCACTGACCCACACTGTGGGCACTGGCCCACTGACCCACACTGTGGGCACTGGCCCACTGACCCACACTGTGGGCACTGGCCCACTGACCCACACTGTGGGCACTGGCCCACACTGTGGGCACTGGCCCACTGACCTGACCCACTGACTCCACACTGTGGGCACTGGCCCACTGACCCACACTGTGGGCACTGGCCCACTGACCCACACTGTGGGCACTGGCCCACTGACCCACACTGACCCACACTGGGCACTGGCCCACTGACCCACACTGTGGGCACTGGCCCACTGACCCACACTGTGGGCACTGGCCCACTGACCCACACTGTAGGCACTGGCCCACTGACCCACACTGTAGGCACTGGCCCACTGACCCACACTGTAGGCACTGGCCCACTGACCCACACTGTAGGCACTGGCCCACTGACCCACACTGTAGGCACTGGCCCACTGACCCACACTGTAGGCACTGGCCCACTGACCCACACTGTAGGCACTGGCCCACTGACCCACACTGTAGGCACTGGCCCACTGACCCACACTGTAGGCACTGGCCCACTGACCCACACTGTAGGCACTGGCCCACTGACCCACACTGTAGGCACTGGCCCACTGACCCACACTGTAGGCACTGGCCCACTGACCCACACTGTAGGCACTGGCCCACTGACCCACACTGTAGGCACTGGCCCACTGACCCACACTGTAGGCACTGGCCCACATTTTTCACATTCATTTTTCAGGCTAATAAAAGATCTATGATTAATTGGTCTAGATATATTTCCAGGTAATAACATAATATAAACACAAAACAAATTATTATATTAACCAATGAAATATTATGTAAGGTATCCTCAAATCATCTGATCCATTTGAAAACTTAACTAACCTCAAATATAAAGTAGAGAGAACAAATTATTATACTTTATGGGTTCTTTTGAGTATAATAAAACCAGTGTTGTATTTATATTATTTGAGGTTTATTATATATATGGGTCAGATATATCAGCGTCCATACTACAGTAGAAGCAGAGCCATCCCCAGGTACATCTCATATATAATTTACTAGTGACTGCTCGGAGATGGCCCTGGTTCCTATTATTCCACAACTTAACCTAACCATTTCAATTGGGCCATAATCCTAATTGGCTCCAGATTTTAAATGGTTTCTAATTCTATGGAAACTTAATTCTATCAGTGTAAAGGTAATGGTTAGATTAGGTTGGGGTTTATTAGGACTGGAACCCATCTGACTTACCAACATCTTTAGTTACAATGGATCTATGAATTTTACTTTAGCTCTTATTATTACAGTATTAAGTTACAATATTAACTGTATTTTATTCTTCACTGGTTATATCTGACAAAACTAAAACTTCATGTGAGAAAAAAGCATAAAATATAATATTGTATTCAACATAAAATAGACCCAATACGTCACTACCTTATCTCTCCTGCCTACAGTACAAATCTTACCTCAGCATATTAAATTTACTTAAGTTTTTTTAAGAAGAGGAAAGTGTTTTATATATCTGAGTTATAAACATTTTTAAGAGATTTCTTTATAATTCATTATACCACTAAAACATATATATATTATATTATATTTTGATCACCTGAAGATTTGATGCCCCAGCTTATTTCACTTGATGATTAAACACACTAGTGCTACCTGGGGTAGGTCAAGTTACAATCAGTTAAATTAGGGTGTTTGATCATCAAGGTTAATATAAGCCTGGGGGTCTAATCTTCAGGTGATCTAATACTTTTAATGACAACCATCTTTGGAATTTCTGAATTTAGAATTCTGTAAAGTCACCACTATAAGTCTCGAGGCTCTAAGTTTTGCATCCTGCATTTATAACAACTTAATGTACCGGTATACAGTACAGTATATACAAATTCTGTTGACTATAACTTGTCTCCCACCAGGTCCCTCAACTCAAGGAGGATATGTATAGAAAGGTGTTGTCCATCCCTTAGTTTATAAACATGTCATTGTCACTGATAGGTCTGAGGAATAAGGATTACTTTACAACTATTCAATTTACAGTATTTTCTACAACACCTGGGCATGATGTACATCTTTTGTAAAGCTGAAAAATACCAAATGATTACAAAAAGAATCAATTGCTTATTATTGCATAGACTTTTTTTTCACTTTACCAGGGCCTTACTCAATACAGGGTAACCAGTCAAGAGCACCCATTCCTGCTAATAAAACACTTACTGTATATAGGTACACAACTGGGAGTCAAGTACACATTACAGGTGTACTGCTGTTCCTGTATTTACAAAACTTTATACCTAACTTTGCTTTTAAAATTTTATTACAATATAATCTAAATAATGGTACAGTAAAACCTCTATCTAATGGACTATAGGAAGAGGAAAGTCCATTGTATCGAGAGTCCATTAGATGTGAATCCCCCCACCACACGGACAGAACCGACACAAACACACTCTCTCCTAATGATAATGAGTCTAAGATACTCTTGGTTCTGGCTACACTTTACCATAGCAAGACACAGACTGGCAAGAAAGACAGAAAATGATTGAAAAAGCTATTAATAACTGTCTATTCCACTAAATTATTAAAAAAAAAAAAAATACTAAACGAGAGCTGTAAGTTTGCAATTTTTTAGTTTATTTTTCAAAACTACAAAAGATGTGGATCCTTCTTAAGATGTGAGTGTTGGTGTATGAGCTCTGACCAACACACACAACCACATATTGAGGAAAACAAATTCACAGACAGACAGACAGACAGACACATGAAGAACTGACGGGCTTCATGGAGACAGACAGACAAATAGACAGATGGAGGAGCCTGACAAGGGACACTAATCACCTGTTATTAAGAAACAAAAGATGAGACCCTTTATCAAGACACCACAGCACAGTACATGGTGTTGAAGAGTGAGAAACCTTAGGAGTACTACATTACCCACAGAGTTATCACGTTAGGCAACTCCTCTACACCGTGAACACTCAGCTACCAAGAGACGGCCACTGGTGTAATATACAGTACAGTATTTTCCTTAGAATCAACAATATAAAGTACAAACTTAGTTATTCTCTGTTTGCACTTGACTTTGTTTGAACATTTTGTATAAATGTTACCAACTTATGCAGACTACTACTATATCAGTATACAGAAGAGATAAATAATTTTACCTATTTTAATATTTTTTTTAAAGCATTGTTTAAAGTCTATTTTTTTATTGTAAATATAAAATAGAAAGTACTTTTGAGCATTAAAATTCTATATTTCTTAAATTTAGTTAAATTAATGAACATTTCTTCTTTAATTTATCCCCCCCCCCCCAAAAAAAAACCCTGTAAAACCTTCACAGAAAATAAGATCCCTTGCTGTTAACAGCATCAGGCACTTGGCTATATAACATACATGTGACATTTCCACAAATTACTGGACTTACTCTTTCCTGTTATGCTGCTGGCTGGCTGGCAGTAATGGCAAACACTGACTCTTCAACCACTCAACTTCATCCATTCACCCGCCAGCTATTCATCTCCATACATTACTATCCTGTCATCCACATTCAGTACAGTCTTCTGCCACTTCTTAAATGACCATCACCCTCACCTCAAGTACTTCCTCCTCACATCTCACATCTCTGATCCATTCTTAATTTTCACTCTCTGTCCCCACCAGCTAAGCATACCCTGATATGCTCTCTTAACACCTTTTTAATGACAAGTATATTGTGAAAAGGTACTAGAAGACATGGTAAGGCACAGGTTGTCGTATCTTCCTTATTGATGTGAAGATAAATAATAACAACATAATTTGTAACTCTACTAAATATATTATGTAAACTTGTCACCTTAATAAACTAAAGAAAAAATCTTGTTAATCAGTTGAGAGAAGAGCTCAAGTGTGTGTGTGTGTGTGTGTGTGTGTGTGTGTGTTTGTGTAGAATGATGATCACACGGTACAAGCACCTGACTAACACAAAACAAACTACAGTACAAAATAAACAGAATGATGTGCGTCACTTTCTAACAATCGTAACAGCGAACTACCACATGTTGCGTTAAACAGCTGACTGACGTGACAAAAAAAAGAAAAAAGGTTCACCTCAAGGACTATTTTAAAATATCACTTCATGTCATCTCTAACTGATCACTCTCCAAAATATCACTTCATGTCATCTCTAACTGATCACTCTCCAAAATATCACTTCATGTCATCTCTAACTGATCAATCTCCAAAATATCACTTCATGTCATCTCTAACTGATCAATCTCCATGGAAAAATGTCCTTAATGAGGAAGACTCAGTATTGTCTCCTCCAGTCCCTTCACAGCAGCCAGACAGTAATGACACCTTACCTATCTAAGTGACAAAACAGTCTCTCCCTCCCCCCCCACAAAAAAAAAAAATCCACATACTGTACATGACAACAAATGACTCACAAGCAGTGTGGTGTAATCTATATTAACCAGAAATTATGAGTTGAAAAATAGCAATAACACAGCTCATAGTTTGGTCTGGTAGGGGGAGGGTTAGGGGGATGTAGCGACAGTGAGTCAAACTTGATGACATGCCAAGTCCACACATACGTTCACTTCAAACTCATACACGCCGCTGTTCTCCAATTTTCTTATTGTGAATAAGCAGGGTTGTGAATAGGGAGTTATGTCTAGCATCAATATAATTATTATTATTTATAAAATACAACCCACCTTCACTTCCCACTCATATGTTGAACTAGCAGGAATGGGAGAGTGGAGAAATGTACCACAGGTGAAGCAAAGAAAAACCACTGTCACACTGATAAACAAAACGGTACTTTATATCTTTCATCAGGATATTTTAAATTAGTGGTAAATTTCCCCGTTTAATACCTGTATATATTTATATGTAACAGACATTGTCTGACTTATTTTGACATTTTAGTATCCAAGTCTTCCCCTATGTATGGACAAAACACAGTCATTAAAGGTCCTGTGTGTGTGTGTGTGTGTGTGAGTGGTATTAGTTGGCTGAGTGAAACATTGTTTACACAGGACATTTAACTCAAACAGTGGACAGATGGCAGCTCCTCCCCACAGACATACAGTACAGTGCCCTGGGAGGAGTTGTGGAACAACATGGGCTGTTTAAATTATTCTTTGGTGGTTTTTGTAAATATGCATAATATGCAGACAGGGAAATTAATTTGTGTGCATACAGATGTATATTTGGCAGCAAAGGGGTTAATTTGGGTCAAGTTTAGTTGGGTTAATGGTGCAAGTAATCCAAAGACATGAATAATTATGGGGAAGCTTTATTCATATATACCGAGTAAGTATTATTTACATCTGTACTGGCACTAGAGCATCAAACAAGAGAGGCACAGAACCAATAAAGTATTCAAGATCCCAACTGTAGTAAAAGCAACATTTAATATGTGAATATCCAAAAATTTGTACTGTTAAGGATTCTTAATACCATGACATGAACAAAACACTGATTCCCAAGTGAGCAAATGAAGCCAGGAAGCTTGGGTGTGTTCAGTGGGGAGGAAAGACTCGTGGTATACAGTGAAAGTAAACAAAAGAAGACTTCACCCTGATGACAATGATGAGTACAATGGTGATGATGATGATGATGTTGAATATGATGGTGATGATGATTTATATAATGGATATAAAACTAAATTCACTACAGGCACTTGTTTTTTTTTTTAATTCCCATCAAAATGAACTTTACATCCATGAATAATTTCTTCACATCATAAAGAACAAAAGAACTAAATTGGCTCTTTATAATCTACTAATACCATACCTAAGTCTCCTTCTCTCATAATTATTATACCATTACAACTCTTAATCACTTTCCTCTTCTCTTCTTTCTCCCCTTCTTATGTGATGGTGTCGACTCCTCACCCTCCTTCCGCTTCTTACTCGTCCGCCTCGTCTGACGTCGAGGAATTTGAAAATTGACCTCCTCTGAATCCTGTGAGAAAATTACTTTACATCACAATTACGTATAGAATTATTTTACGTCGCTATTGGAATTAGTACTTTACATCGCGACTATTAGAATTATCTCTCGTGTTAAAAATAGTTCACTGTGACAACAACTTTAATGTAAATTTTAATGTATCCTACAAACAATTTCTAATGGCAAATAAAATAATCACGAGACAGAAATTATTTAGTCTGACAGCAAAGTACAGGACAACATAGTTTTTTTCAAGGAGGACACTTTTCACTACTGACGTCATCAACAGCGGTCCTGAGAGACAAAATTATCATACCATGGACTCCAGCAGTTGTGAGGGCATGTATTCCGGGTCCCCTTGAGAATCGTCAACCAGTGGCCCTGATTTGGCGTAGTTTTCGATCTGCGATTCTGTTTTGTTGTTGTTGTTTTCATTGTGCAATTCTATGTTGTGGTTCGTTAGGCCAATTTGATGCGAGCCAAGACCAATGCTTTTGGCTCTGGTGCATCGTCTTCCAATCTCTGGGCTCAAGGTTCTTTCAAATACCTCATTTTCTTCCACAACATCATTGGGACAAGTCTCCGACTGGTGGGCTGGTATCAGGTCTTCGCCATCATCCTCCTGACCAACATGACCTAAAACAAGTGTATTTCTTCTTCAAGTACTGTACTGTATTGTAAGGCTAATACAGAACTGTATATTGAATCTGGTAATTTTTCACCACTACTACAATACAGATGAACCATCCTTAAATTTACCCCCATAGTCTTATCATCATGCAATTTTTCATTCTTTCAAGCCAGTTAAAGTTTAATTATGTACAGAAGAACACTAAATCGGTGAATTACAAGATCAGTTCATATAGATTTCTTCCTCTCCTCCAACAAGAAATATGTCGGCAAGCTATAATGATTCTCTCTTTTTCTAGTATAAAAATTATTCAAACAATAACCATCATTTACTATACGTGGTTCAGGGTGTATTTCTCACTGTCACCATGTTCTTTATTTACACAAGTCACAAACAGTACTTCTGAAAAATATATATATATATAAATTCGGGGGATCTAACAACTGACTGCTTTTAATTACTATAGTTTTGTAAGGTGATGCTGTACCTGGATCACTTAAAAGATTAGAAACCACAGCTTAATTTATTATGTAGGCTTTACAGGTATTTCTATTTATTTCAGACATACATGATGGTGGACACAGGTGACCCAGACACACCAGGTAAATCTATAGTATGTAACAAGATGAAAGATATTCCCTAACAATGCTCGTTATACGTGTTCTGATCTGGTTTAATTTCCAAGCCGGTAAAAGTACCTGCACATCCACACACTGTAAATAAATGGACTTACAAGAACTTTAGCTCCCCTGCTTATTTCACCTGATGATTAACCACCTTAATGCTACCTGGAGGAGGGAAGGATTAAGTCAGGTTCTACTAGAATTGGTTATGTTACTGTAGGTTTGATTACCTTAGGGTAGACTAGGTTATGATAATGTTATGTTAGGGTGTTTAGTCATCAGGTGAAATAAGCTAGGAGGGTCTAATCTTCACATGAGCCCATACCTGTACTGACCATATGACTCTCACTAACCTGGACTAGCAGCAGGCGAAAGTAGATCCAGAACATCACAATCCTGCAGGAGACTCATACTCACGCTACTACTTGTGGGACTGGCTGCGAAGATGTCTGGGCTAGGAGCCATGCCACTGTCCTTGACTTGACTTTCAGTGGGTGTTAAATCTTTGCCTGTGCGTTCATTTGATTCCTGTTCTTGCGGAGGTTTTGCGACGTTGTCTTCGGTGGTGTGGTGTATGGTTGCAACATCATCCTTTGCTTGTATTATATCCCTTTGTTGCAGCTCATCGGTGTCCATTCTGCTTGTTGTTGCCGAGTTGAGGATGCCTAAATTGTCATTCTTTTTATTGTTGTTCTCTCTCTTAGTTGTGTTATTACTAAACATAAAAGTGTTCCTCTTTCTGGTACTCAGAGCATGTATTTGGCTGGGAACAATTTTTTTAGTTTTATCATCCTTCACTTTCCATTCTGTAGTTTCAGTGAAGCCATTATCATCATTACTACTCCTCAAATCTTCCAAATTCAGTAATTCTGGTGAGTGTGTGTCTTCACCACGAGTCAAATGGGTGATGGGTGCCTCACTTACACCTACCTGCTTCTGGTCTCCCTTATTTTTTTCTTCTGCATTCTTCTTTAAGTCTCTTTTCTTCTTTGCTTCTTTTTGTCTTCTTTTAACATCGGAAATCAGCTGAACAAAGTGGTCATTATTTTTCTTAACTGAAAAGACAACACTGAAAATGTTACTTACTGTACAGCCTGAGATGTGGGTGTTGTTGTGTACAACTATATATATATATATATATATATATATATATATATATATATATATATATATATATATATATATATATATATATATATATATATATATATATATATATATATATATATATATATAACAAATAAACACAAATCCTTTTTCTAATAACATTGCAACTAACATCATTGTATAAATAAGAATAATAAGACATTTCAGAGTATCAATAGTCAAATAGCAACATATAACCCCCACACTTTGTATTATGTAGGAAAAGTTTTATTTTACTCTTTGTTGACACTTATGGTGAGTCATGTCCAGTCAGCCTACATTTTCAAAACCTTATACCTGTAGTACAATATGTAGCACATTTAAGAGTTATATGGAAACATAACTGCATGAACATAAACTCAAGGTTGTGTTTCATTGTTTATATTTCATCAAAACATTCAAACTTACTGTAATTTTTTTGTTCCTTTTCAATAATTTCTGGAGCAGTTTTTCTGTTGTAGGTAAATATCTGCAAAAGAAGAAACAACTACATTATTTATGAAGTTAGTTACTGTATCTCTGTGTGTTTGACTTTGCCATAAATGTTTACTTGATATTCACGACATAACATTGACTGCAGCTTGACAAAAATAAATTAATATACAGTACTGCATGAGATTTTGTAACTCACACTCTGGGAGGTGGTCACTCGAGACTTTTCTTTCTCCTCACGGTCCAGTTGTTTCACAAGTTCCTGTACAGGACGTGGCTCTGCTTCATCACACTCAGCATTGTACAGCGTTACGTACCTGAAGACAGAGATACATCCAACAGGTTCATGTGTTTTGTGACTTATTCAATGTTCTGACCACTATAGAGGTTACTCTATAGAAGGTCAATGACTGATTTAAATACAATCCCCTCTGAGAGCACAACTAATGAGCATTCTAACCAAAAATTATTATATAAATTTAGTATACACAGCGTAACATGTTTAATCCTTAGTGTACAAGGTCCCCTCTGAGCTGAATAATATCGTCTGCCATTAGCCAAATAACATTATTTATTGAAAGTGGCATCCCATAGCAAAGGGGTTATAAGATTGATGCCTTCAGAGACATAAATTTTCCAGTCAGTGCACAACATATTCTCTTTGTACAGTCAAAAAATAAAACTATTTCAAACTGCTTACCCTTTACATAACTGTATTCTTCAAGTCTCTTAGCAGTTGAAAACAATGAAGTAAGATTAACAAATGTTAGACCCATTAGATGAGTTGTAGACTGTTGCCAACACATACCTGCGGTGCCTGTTGACGAGGGCTTGTTTGTCGCCGCAAAATGATAAGCCGAGATCTTTCACCTTCTGCCGCATCTGTTTCTCTGACAGCAGGGAGTACACCAACTTGGTCAAAGGCTTCCGTCTAGGAGGCTGCTCAATGCTGCGCAACACAAAACCACAAGATTATTTAAACAGACGTATTCTCAGTTTTAAAATTTATTCAAATGTCAATGAATACATTACAAGGAATAAATTAAAATATATGGTTACAGTGAGTTTATAGAACTGAGATGGAGTACATTCCATTCTATTAACCCCGATAACCTGTTTTAAACCAAACAATATATTAATCACTAAAGGTAATACAGTACAGTACTATAAGTAATCAAGAGCTTTAGTAACAATCCTGACACACACATTACAGCACTGTACTATCAGTCCCAACCAGTCAACACTAACTGAAGCTAATATTCACACCATGTCTTACAGTTAGGCACGCAAGCTCTACCCATACAACGAGTTAAGAGGTGTCTGTGACTCTACATGACTGACTGTAGAATCATACTTAACCCTCAGAGGTATGGAGTATAAAGCCAGAGACTTCAACCAATATGTGCCCTTCAAATTCTAACCCAAACTAACGAGAGCCAATTTGTTTTTGACAAACCTATTTTCACAGAGTCAGGCGAAACCGAATTTTGGCGTAATGTTAAGTGAGAAAGGACGTAAAAATTTTTTATAGCTAAAGTGAAATAATGCTGAAACAGGGATACCTAATACTGTATGAATCCAACTAACATTTTTAAGTCCTCTTCTTCGTCCATACGTTGAAGACAGGCATCAAGGTGTTGGTTGATATTTCGTTGTGGCACTTGAACATGACACACAGGACAATCCACACGTACTCCATCTTGGCCACTGCTCTCACCGTTCACACTTGTACTGAAAATACAAAATTATATTAATCTGACACTTCTAAATCTACAGATGCCGATTCCAACATTTACATTTTGTATTTTTTTACTGTACTGAAGACACTAGCACATCACCTGACAACACGAATGAAAGATGTATCTATAATCATGCTCTTCTGAACACATACAAAACATATTCAAATACCTCTGAGAAAAAATAGAAAAATGTCCAGAAGGTGAACGACAAGGACTCTGAGATAGGGACGACAGTGAGGCAGGCACCGGAGACAAAAACAAACTCCTCGAAGGTGACTTGATCTTGGCCTGACTCTTGACACTACTGCTGCTGGGGGAACACAGCTCAGATTCACTCCTTCTCAGTGGTGATTTACTCTGGCTGGATACCATAGGCTTCTCAAGATTTCTCTTTGGAGTAGAGTTGATCCCTTTGTCTTTCCTGTATGATAAAACAATCACACACAAAACTATAGTTATCGCCCTTTTACGGCCATTTTTCTCACTTAAACTATATTCCAAATAAAGTCATCCCTTCTTGCGAAAACTCAATTGTTTGATCCAAATTCACAGTGACGTTTATGACTGTACTGTGCTGTAAAATAATCCCACAGATTCAGGTGGAATTTCTTTACCCTACGCATCATACAAAACAGTGAAAGATTACCACTACCAGATTTGTTTACATCTACACATCTCTAAGGTATTCTACTTTCTTTACTCAATGATCTAAGAAATTAAAAGAAATTATTTTCTTCTGCTGAAAACTTTCATTAAGCACTTGGCATGTTTAACAAAATACACATAACATTTTTAGGTATTGATGATAAATATACACCTGTGAACACCATCAGTATGTCTCCTTTACTTTTGTTTTGTCCAGTCCTGTCTTCCTATGGTACTGTAGAGGGTGAAACACAAACAAAAGCAACACAGACTTTCTAACATTCATTACCATTAAACCTCTGTACCTCCTGAACTAATTGTATTGCTGAACTTGCTTTACACACCTTGGGGACAGCAGGTGGTGAGCCTTCCCAAATACTAGTCGTTTTGGTGAAGCAGGTTTGCCTTCCTGTTGGGTAGCAGCCTTGGCTCTAGGAGACATGACACTGGTGCAGGACTGAGCGATGTTGTTACTACCTGAGGCAGCCTGATCATCCTTGGTCTTCTCTGCGGGGTCGTTAGTCTCCAGGTAGCTAGTTATGACACCTCCCTTTGAGGTGTGACTTAAACGAGCTACCTTATCCCTGTGTGGGAGAACCTTCAGTATAATGTGTTCATCATCACCAGGGCTTGAAACTGTTCAGTATCTTGGACTCTGGGACATCAATGACTAAATTTCAACAGCAAAAAGGAACAAAGAGCTTGTGATGGAAGAAAGAAGATAGGTGAAGGGAAGAAAGAGGAAGATAGTGAAGGGAAAGAACGAGGAAGATAGTGAAGGGAAAGAACGAAGAAGATAGAGAAGGGAAGAATGACGATGATAAAGAGAACGTAAAGATAAACAGTAAAGAGAAAGGAAGGAAAAACACAAGAGGCTACAAGAATGACTTTTACACAACAAAACATAAACCTCAGGTCAGACCAGGAAATATCAAATATATGAATCATAGGAGTGAAATGTGATTCTTTTGGGCACAGAAAATGGCCACGTATTGCATCACATGAAGTTCTGAGTCTGATTTTCGGATCACCCTAGACTGCACCTACAGTGAAAAGTTTAAGATTACCTGAAGATTTGCTCCCCTCCCACCAGCTTACATCACCTCATGATTAAACTCCCTTATGTTACCTGAGAGGGTTGGGGTTAGGTTAGGTTAAGGTGGTTAATTTTAAGGTGAAATAAACTCGGGGGAAAATCTTCAGGTGATCCAAAATTTCATTAGATATTTTAAATGATTGAGGTAATCCATTCAATGAACCTGCTTTAATAAACAACAGATGTTACTAATTATATTAAAATCATGAAGGTCTATCAACTCATCTAAGCAAATTATCAGTGACATATAAAACAAATACATTATTATACAGAGATTAAGAAAAATATTATGAAAAAGAATATTACATCTAGTTACCTTAATGTGGTAAAGAGGCCAATGATCTCATCCACGAGTCTATTGTTCCGTAAGTGTTGGGTTGTGGTCTCTTGGAAGCAGGCTGGGCACTGGGTCTTGTAGGACAAGTATTGTCGGATGCATAATGAACAATCTATGGACCGGAGACTGACTTATTATATATACTTAAAGCAAATACTGTACATTAACAAAACTCTACAATAACACATAAAAATTCTACAATAACAAGGATCAATATGTCTAATTCCAGAAAATAATTCCCAATAGGACAGAAAGCCTTAGTACCTTAACACAACAAATTAGTCTTGATACTTCAAAAAATATTTCCTAAAGGGGTCAAACATGGCTACTATGAAGAATAAGAGTGAGGAGGAGGTACAATATTGATGTTCAAAAATCGAAAATCTAACGTTCGGGATGTGTTCTTGACAGTCGGAAATGTGGTGATACAGAGAGAGGTTAACGACCAAGGATGCTGATTACGGTGGCTGGTCCGATGATAATGAGTGCAAATGGAAGCTGGGAGTGGTCCTGTTGTGCCTGGGATACAGGATGTGACTAGGATCTCTGAGCAGTGAGCATCATTGGGCTTTGGACCCTAAACCTGTGATCAATGCAGTTGATGTATTTTAGCAGTCTAGTGGGAGACTTCACTGAGTGTGGGAGTAGTAGTAGTAGTAGTAGTAGTAGTAGTAGTAGTAGTAGTAGTAGTAGTAGGAGGATAAACTTTTCTGACAGTTATTGTAAAGGCCGGAGAAGAAGACACCCTCATCATTATTCACTTTGCACACGAGATTCATTCTTTAGTAACACACCTCTCCTCATTCACACCTCCATTACCCACAACTCTCAGTATATATGGAAGGTTATTACATCCTAAATGCACAAGTATGAGCCTCAAGCGTGAACAACCAACTCGACCACTGACAAGAATGACGCAACTTACAGTTATGGGAGCAGGCGGTGATCATGGAGGTGGTCATGAACTCGTAACATATGCCACACCGCAGCAGTTCGTCCAAACGCTGCGGGTTAAAAAAATAAAATAAAATAAGACCGACTTACTTAGTCCTTGAGGAAAAAATTATTAACTTGTGATATTGGCAAATGAGGCGCTCGCTCCAGGTTAGAACAAGACAAGTGATAATGACATCTAAAGAGTGTTTATTATATACTGTACCAACATAATCCTCAAACTTCTCTCTAAACTTTAAATGTGAGTTTTGATATTTTTATTTTTTTTTACTTTTTTGTAGCTTAGGTTAGGAGGGATGGATCACTAGAGATACATTTGAGTTTGTAAAATTCATACATCGAGGGTAGCTAATAAAGGAGAGAACAAGAACACTTAAGAAAATAATGTATAATTTTTCCGACCAGGTGCCGTCATCTTGTGAATGATGGCTCCTTTATGAAGACTGTGGACTTGAACACGGCTTTCATTATTTTCTGTCATTTTATATTTTTTTCTGTTTTACATATTCTCTTCCACCAGCATTCTATAAATAAAAAGAAACATACCCACAATGACTACTACCCACATACTGACACACAACATGCCAGCATTCAGTGATAAGTTAAATAATATGATCAACTGAGCCTCCCTAGTGTTATTTCACCTTTAAAGACACAAATTAACCTAATCTAATCCCCGCCCCCAGGTAGTGTTTAATCCAGTGAAATATACAACAGGGGACTAATCTTCAGATGATCCAAATAATTAAATAATAATAAAAACTTCTTTGTGTGGTGGAAGGAAAGAAAAAAAAATAGTTGAGGAACTTACATATGGTTGGTAGCTTACTGACCTTCAACTGCGGAATACTGGAGGGCCATGGGAGGGAGGTTTCCACTTCCATGGTCACTGTACATCACTCTGAAGAAGACACTATCATGATCACCAACACAATATACAGAAATAATGAAGGTAAATGTATAGAAAGAACAGACTCCTCGACCCAAAAAGAAATATTTAATTTTTTTGGTGTATTTTATAGTCTCATGTTCTAGTGGTAATTGTTTCTTGTACAAATGCTTCGTTTTGGGAGGTAAGCTATGGCCCTTTTCTCCTCCTTTGATATAGTATTTTACGTAATTGTTATACATTTTTTTTGTGTTAGTGTTTCTATCACTGTTCTTGGCAACTATTGGTAGTGTTACAAATATCCAACATCTCCATGGAAAAATACAGCAGTGTTACAAATCCTAACTTAATCCAATCAAACACATTCTACCTAACCTAACTTTGTGGGGTATTTATATAGGTGGAGGAGGTCCTAACTAAAAAATGAAGCACCTGTAAAAGATATAATTATCACCAATAGATAGAACATTAAAACACACCTCTAATAATAAACCAGTTAGTGTTATCTATATAGCTCACATTAGCCACAATTCATCACGACTTCATATCTAAGTAACATGGGAAACAATTAATCAGAATTACAAACTTTGCTTTAACACTCTAGGACTTGATGTAATTGACTAAAAGCTATTAATTACCTTCTCAATATTACAACAGATTGATAAATTAACTGAATATACTATGATTTTTAAATGACCAGTCCCTCTATCATAAAATACTGTAATGATAACAAACAACTTTCAATCTATTACATAATGTTATATATACCATAGATAATGATTATAATACAAAGATAAACTATTACAATGTTAGTAAAGGCTTTAAAAATATATACCCCAAGAGCATCAACCATCAAGTCATTTTGGACGATTATCACCACCCAGATATTTTTTACCCCCGTTAATTCTTGTCTCATTAACATATCAATACAAAACATATAAATAGGAGTAATAATATCAAATGGTTGATGAGAGAGTTACAGGTGTGGCCAGAAGGTGATGATTGAGGTGCCGCCAAATATCACTTTTGTTTACATTTCTTCGCGGGTTTTCTGAGTACCTTTGGAAATATATTGTTTATTTTTTATTTTTTGTGTATTAATATTATAATTCATAACTAATTCTCATATATTATTAATTAAATAGAAATATCGTTATCCTTACCTACATGAAAGGTTTAATGGAATAAATTAGGATATATATATATTCCTACACTATGAATATTGTATGATAATTCAGTATTAATTTTTCAACACAATAAATAAAATAAAATAAATATCAATTAAACACACTTGTAATAATATAATATTTCAGAGATTTATTACAATAAACTAATAACGTCATAAATGCATCCCAAACAATTCTCCAACAGATATAATTGACAAAATGCCATTTACACTTGTATTAAATTACAGAATAATAAAGGGTTTGATCGAATAAATTAAGAAATGGTAATAAAGATGATAATAACGACAGATGTACCACCAAGATGGCCTCCTCCTGCTGCTCCTGCCTCTGTCCCGGTCTTCTTCACTTAACTCACACCACAAGACGTTAATTAACTCCTAACTCACACCACAAGACGTTAATAAACTCCTAATGAATATAACGTAAGATATCACAACGTAAGCAATACATTAACGTGTCTATAAAGTAACTAGTACATTTGTTTGATTCATTTTACTTTAACTTTCACCTTGTAAACATTTTAGTCTAAGTAATATAGTAACATAAAGAAACTCTTATGCTTATTTACTGTTATCTTAATATAGATCTTGCTGATAATGAAGATGATTTAAACTTAGGAATTATTAAAGATATTATCTATTTTAATTAGTTTGTTATAAATCAGGTGTTTCTTATTATACCGTATACTTTACATTTCTCTTAAGGGAAACTTAGAGGAAAAATTTAATACTAATTTATATTCATTTATTGTATTATTTTCAACATTTTATTAGAACTTTATTAAATTTGGAATATATTTGTATGGTTGGGAGTCGCCTATTATATATATGCTGAATTAATTGTAAACTTCTATGGTGATTTTAATGAATAAATATGTATCTATCTATCTATCTATCTATTCCAGTAAGTGGTTGTGGTGGAGGCCTCGGGTAGTGAGGTGTGTGTATCACTCTACAGTAACTCAGGTGTTGGACCCTATACCATCCACCTCACCACACACACGACCGCAGCAGCAACACCACCACGACCCCACGATGCCCGACACAACAACCCTCTCACCCTCACATGACGCAGGGGAGGAAACAGCGTCGGCCACAACCATACACTGCCCACTACTGCCCACTAACTTCCAGTGGATCGTCCGACACTGCCCTGCTTTTCCCGTCAATGGTTCAAAAGTGAGTTTAAATTGGTTGAGTTTTCTTCCATCATCGTTTATTCTCCAAAGTATTTTGTTTAAAGTTTATGTCAGTGGAAAATAATTACCCGGAGAATTCTGTCCTTGTTGCAGGTGAGGGTGATCACGGACCCGCAGGAGTTTTACCGAGAGCTCCTCAGTAGGGCTGGTAGCGCCTCACATCGGATAAGTATGTCATCACTGTATCTCGGCACAGGGAAGCTTGAAAAGGAATTGGTAAGTTGAAGTTTGATTTACTACTTGGCTTCAGTACAGTCAGACCCGTTTTAATGATGGTTTGGTTTACGAAAATTTGAAGTTTCGGAAAAAAAAATATAATGTGTACACCAATTTTTTTTTTAATAATATGTTTTGAAGCATTTTGTGACATTTTATTTATTTATTTATTTATTTATTTATTTATTTTCATAGAAACATATCTCAGCTTCTATAGTGTGAGTTTAAGGGAAAGATGGGAATCAAAATATGAAAAATTAATATACAAAGTTTTTTTTTTATAAATACCTGTACAATATTATATAATACTTGTGATCCTGACACACTGTGATCAATGAGTTGTATGAGTAAATCTATAACATTAGGCTGATGTAATGTTGGCTGACACTGTAAAGTATCTACACGGTAAAACCTCTATTTAATGGACTATATGGTGAGGAACGGCCCTTATATGGAGGTTTCACTGTACCTGTACCTTTTTGACACCAGAAGATAACAGCTGACAATATACATCATTGTTTTGCTTTACATAGTCTTCTACGCTCTTAATCAATATTTTTTCGCAGGTATCAGTCATGAGTGAACGTGCTGCCCTGTGTAAAGATCTCCGGGTACACTGGCTCCTGGACTTCACCAGAGGGTCACGCGGAGACTTCAACTCCCGGAAGATGTTACAACCTCTTGTCTCCAGCTGTCCAGAAACATGTTCAGTAAGTGTATTTAATCTCTTCACTGAAAGAAGGAAAATTTATAATTATACCGATGAGTCTAAATTAAGTTTATTGTGTATGATTTTTTATATATAGTGTGTGTGTATGTCAACAGGTGTCACTCTACCACACCCCAGACCTGCGAGGATTCCTGAGGCATATAATCCCACAGCGCTGGAATGAAACAATTGGCCTCCAACACATGAAGCTCTATGTATTCGATGACTCCCTCGTTATATCTGGGTAAGGACTTTGTAAGTAAAAGGAGGAAAATTGTTATGTAAATTGTCTAAACTGTCGCAGCATCACGTTCTCCTTAAGACATCACATGTTCTCTCCGATTCTTCACTCTAACATAGTCTAATTTTTTTACTAGTTTATACTTCCTAATTAACATAAAAACAAAATAAACAACATTGATAATTTACAGGAAGCGAGTATTTGGTCCTTGGGAACTGATAATTTTTTTTCTCTGAAAGTCATTACCACAACTAAGTACTGTACTGTATAGTAATCATAGATGAGTAATTATGTGTTATAATACCATCGTGTGAAGCCATTAAGATATAGTCGATGTATAATTAGAAGTCTAATTTGCCTGCCGGTCTATAATTTCAGTGCCAACTTAAGCAACGACTACTTCACTAACCGCCAGGACCGTTATTTCGTCTTCGATGACTGCCCGGAGCTCGCGCAGTTCTACCACACGATCATCGAAACTGTCGGCAAGTTCTCACTACGGCTACGGGCAAATGATACCACGAGTTTGTACCCGGAGACGTGTGTTCATCCCTTCCTGGTATGTTGTGGAGGACGTACAGTGCAGTGTGTCCATGTTTTATTGGATTTTGGTAATGTAGGTAATAGATTGTGTAGGCTCTGTAATGTATAATTTATATAGTGTACAAGTTACTTAATGTATAGTGTAGTGTTATTTAATGTATAGTGTATAAGTTATTTAATGTATGGTTTAGGCCATGAGATGTATAGGTTATGGAGAGGTTCTTGGTGGCATGATCTATAGTTTATTGTGTGTTTTGGGTAGATTTGAGAATGTATATATGTAACAAGAAACAAAATGGGTTTATGAAGCTTCTAGTCAATAGGTAATGTAATTTAAGCAATGTATTGTTCATGTAGCCTCAAATAGCACACACAAAATTACATGCCTAGAGCTGTCCATCCTTAAAGGACTCTTATTAATTTTTCCTGCCATTTAAAACAAAATATATTAACTTATTAATTTTTGCTTAAAGGCTTTTTTTTTTATTTATTTAGTACTCTGGAGAGAGGGCAGTACTGTAGTTGATATATTAAGAGTGAGTTCAGTCCAGTACATTGAGGTGTTGTGGACATTACCTGAAGATGGGCATAACAATGATAATATAACTCCTCCATTAACGACTTTAAAAGAGACATGAGTTTAATCCCTTGGCCAGGAATGGGTGATGGTGGATTGGTAGTGCACTGACCTGACTGGCTACTCACTACACCATCTTGTAAATTGTGGTAAATGTTGTGAGAGATGCTTCCACCCTTCTGATTGTTTAGTGGCTAAGGACTATATATTGCTGTTTGTTTTTATGCTTATCCAATTGGGTTTTTTTTCTGGTTATTTGGATAGATATTGAACACTTTATAATGATTGTGTCTGTTGCTAAAGAAATATTTACTGTACTTTGCTAATTTTCATCTGGTGCAAGAATGGCCTTGTCCCTGCCTCATGATCTCTAAGTGTTCATTATCAAAGGTGCTGTGATAGAAGAGTGGTGGTCTGTGTGTGAGAGAGAGAGAACCAGTAGAAGTGTGACCAAATAATGACTGTGGAGAGGTTCTGTAGGGTCAGGATAACTGGTCTGTGGAAGATAGATATGGGTAATTGGAAATACTGTAACCTCTTCGACTACAGTCTAACAAACCCCTATCTCACTGTTCAGTAGGTCAAATAATGCCTACTGGCTTCTCTGTTGATATGTACTTCCATCGCTTCACAACTCCTCCTTACCTACCTTGTCTTTCCTACTGTACATTAGATTCAACCATATTGATGCACTACTGTTAGCAATTAATCATTTGGTCACCCAGCAGTATAATGGAGCTTTATAAGATTAATAAAACAAATATTTAACTCTGGGAATGATTTAGGATGTGTTTTAATTGTGGAATATGTCTTTCAGAGTGACTACAATAAATACTGTTCCTCTGTGAAGGCCGCCCTACTCAACCTGTGGAATAAGGAATGCAGCAAAAATTTGTCAAGGTTGAACCAATTGCTGAAAAGTCTTGGACAAACAGACATTGATAAATCAGAGGAGTGCATAACAGACACTAAGATAAACCACTCACTTGACACTATAGTATTTCCTACCTTACAAATGGGGCCGTTTAGTATCACCAATGACAGTGTGATCACTAAAAAGTTATTGACTACTGCTGAGAGCAATTCAAGAATACAGTTAGCATCAGGATACTTCAACTTAACAGAGGAGTACATGCAGTGTGTTCTTCAACAGTCACAAGCTAACTATGGTATTCTTATGGCTCATCCCAGGGTGAGATAATATCTTCAGCTTTGTTTACATTCAGTGGTGTTTTTTAATGTTGTTTTCTTCACTTTAAAGAGATAACAAATATGATTTATGTTTGTTCTTTGCTTTTAATTCATCACCATCAACACAGCACCTGTAGCCTTGAGGCATCGTGACTTCCCTCAACTACAAGCATTATTGATAACATATTCATTGTAAATATTTTTGTTTTACTAATGAAACTTAACAATTTTACATATGAGTTATCTTTCCTTCATAGGCCAGCATTGTAGCATAGGTTACCAAGTTAACAATACTGTATTATATCTACAGGCTAATGGATTCCTTGGTGCTCGTGGGTTTGCTGGGGCCATCCCAGCTGCCTACACACAACTGGCCAAGCTGTTCTTTGAGAGGCTACAGAGGGGAGGAGCAAGTAATCGCATCTCTATGTTTGAATACCAAAGACCGCGCTGGACATTCCATGCTAAGGGACTGTGGTACTACCAGCCTGGCCACTCCTTACCCTCCCTCACCATGATTGGCTCTCCAAACTTTGGAAAGTGTCTCAGACTCAAAATTTTAGCTAATGTTCACTTGCTCTAAACAGTATCTTGATGGAGGGGTCCGATGAATTTAAAAATGAACACCGTGACTCCTGTTGTCGTTGTAGGGTTGTCAATATCCTTTATCTTCTGTGTTATAATATCTCACAAAATCGTAAAGATACTTTTTGGAGCATGTGTACATATTTTTAAACTGCTCTAATTCTGTGGAAAATATTATATGATATTATAACTTCACTCTACTCTACTAGGGAGTCGTCTACAGTACAGTACCTCAGCATGTTAATATTATCTTTTAAACTCTCTCTTACAGGTTGGAGATCAGTTAATCGGGATTTAGAAACTCAGGTTATTGTAGCGACCAGGAACACTGACCTCCAGGTGGAGCTTCACCATGAGCAGGAGCGTCTGTACACCAGCTCCACCGAGGTCACCGGACAAACCTTCACCGAGAGAGAACGTTTGGTCCCTTACTGGGTACGCTTGGTCATGCCTATTATTAAGGTCTTCTTTTAACCGTTCAACAGGTACAGTGATAAGTCCAACATGTATAGATCATCATCCTTGTACAGCTACATGAAAAAAAAGATGTGTTCATAAAATTTCCCCAGAGATTTTTTTTTATAATAATGTAAATAAAGTTTATTGTCTTGTTCACGGTAGTGTGTATTATTTTTCTATATTTTGTGTTGTATTCTTGTTTGCATTCTGACTTGTTTTCCATGTTACAAAGAAGCTGAGTGTCCATGGTGTTCAAGGGTAATGTTGGAATGGTACATTATAGTATTCACACATACCGGGACAAGACCAGAGCCATGAAAGTTGTGTGGGAGAGGAAGAAGACCATGGGTTTAACTCCATCTTCAGCCCCTCCCAAGAAGCTGAACCTCCTCGTCCTGAAGAAGTTCTTTACTTGTTCAGGTGTAGAAGGGGTAAAGAAGGTCGTCTGAGCGGTGGCCTTAATGGATACATTTGGTGAATGGGGACAGGCCAACAAGTGAAGGACATTTTATACATCAATGAAGTTACATACACCAACGAGGTGCCACTCAAGGTAACTGCTGAACTTTGTGACAATGCAGTGTGGAGGTCATCTCCCACACTGAAATTGAACATCTGGAGCTCGACAAACTCATCAGGGAGTCCAGAGGAAGCTGTCAGGACTCATCGGGGAAGACACCTTCACCGTGGTTGGTTTCCTTGGAGTACCTCCCAAAGAGCTTTTACTGGGATGGGACACCATTCCAGTAAAACAATACAGACCAAGACCAACAAGGTGCTACCGTTGTCAGCACTACTGCCACGCAGCTAAGAAATGCCGGGCTCGGGAGGTCTGCGCCACGTGCGGGGTGACTTGGCACCAGCACACCTCGTGTGAAGGAACACGGAAAAAGTGTGCAGTTTGCAGTGGCCCTCATTCTTCCTCCAACCAGGAGTGTCCCAAGTGGAGGGAGGAGTGTAGGGTAGTCAGCCAAGTTGCAGTAGAAGAGAAAACTTAGCTGCAAGGAGGCTATCCTTAGAGTTGAGAAACAAGAAGAGATAAATGAAGAAAAGAAGAAACAAGAGGATGAAAAAAGCAAAGAATTAGAAGACTAAGAAAAGAAAAAATAACATATTTGTGAGGAAGGGGATCAAATGTGTACCGTCCAGAAGAAGAAAAAGAACAAAAGGAAGAGAACGCAAAAATAACAAGACTACGTCTTTAATGACCTCAGATGTTGACGGCTAGAAAATCAAATCAACGAATGAACGAACTATAGTATCGTATATTGACATTGATAAGTAAATGGAGGACAGAACAAGAATTTCTCGGTAAAGGTAGCCAAGGCCACCTACTTCACCTTAAGCACAGTCAGAGAGGCCAAAACTCCAGACAAAATTAACATAGGTTTATTAAAATGACTGTGACCTTCTGATACAGCTGTTTATTAAGCTCAGTTAAAAGATGGGAACAGTTAAGAAAAATAACAACCCATCATGAATTAATTTTACAAATCCTTCGACTAAGTGCCCAGAGTTTTTTAGTAACATGATCATCCACTGAAATCTCTGGAGATCATCTTATACATGTGGCTGTCACTTAAGACCTCTGGCAGGTACAAGGGATCAAGGATACTTATGATGCAGGAATAATAGACCAGGGGGGGGGTGTACAGTTCCGTCCATAAGTGGTACACTGGCGGTGAAGGGTGCATAGCCTGTTGTACCCTTTTTGGACGACAGGTCACTACGCCGACCCTCCCACCAACACACACTGGAGCTGGCAACAGTGCAGTGTGATTTGAAAGAAAATACTCATCAAAAGGACATGCGAAGGATATTGATATGAATATCCTGCTGATGAGAGAAGAATATTAAAACAATAGGGAAATTGGTTTTGAATGAACCCCATAAGAAGTAGGTGAATAGAGCTCATATATCAAGAGTCTTCAATGTATTCATTACTTGAAGTTTTTTGTATAATATTCTCGCTATATATACAGTATATATGTGTGTGTTACGCTAAATGTGACAATTGCCGATTAAGAGTTAAATAATATTAATTCGTATGTATCACATCTTCGACACACTGAAACACACCAACACAAGTGGGCTGTGTGTGTGTGTTTCACCGAGGTGGTTGTGTTACTTGCCGCTGAAGAGAGAGAGAGTATTATACGGAAGACTTCAAGTAATGAATACATTGAAGACTCTTCATATATGAGCTCTGTTCAACTATTTCTTAGTGTTCATTCGAAACTAATTTCCCCATTGCATTCTGATATTGTAATGGATACTCCTATCACTATAGATTTCTGCTCTCTTAACAGGATATTAACACATCTTCATCATCCATCAGCAGTAACTGGCCGATATTCACATTAATATCGTTCCAATCTCTCTCTCGACGAATATTCGTTCAAATCACACTGCACCGTTGCCAGCTCCAGTGTGTGTTGGTGGGAGGGTCGGCGGAGTGACCTGTCGTCCAGGAAGGGTACAACAGACTATGCACCCTTCACCGCCAGTGTACCACGAACTTCTGAACGGAACTGTATATGAGGATGAGGGAGGTCTTGGTGGTGTGTGGGGAGTGTAGAGGCAGGGGAGGGTCTTGGTGATGTGTGGGAAGGTGGAGGGGGAGGGGGGAGGTCTTAGTGATGTAAGAGGAGGGTCTTAGGGATGTGTGGGGCGAGTGTAAGAGGGAGGGATGGGGAGGGTCTTGGTGATGTGTGGGGCGAGTGTAAGAGGGAGGGGGGGGGTCTTAGTTACAAAGTATCCTCAAAAGCAACAGAAAGACCCACAAGCAACAGAAATGATCCATGTGAACAACAGTAACCAACAACGGTGAACCTGACAACGGTAAGAACATTTAAAGAGCTACAGGAACAGTTTCAGTGGCCAAGAACAACAGGGTGTAGCAACAGACAGACACAAACAGGTCATGACCGAACGAATCTTGTATTAAAACCAACAGTAATAGCAACAGAAACGGCCAGCCAATTATCAACAGAAACACGTCCACGAATAATAACAGAAACACAATAAGCACCACCATTACCAACAGAAATATCTCCCATCAGTCAAAATCAACAGTAACAGCCCCGTCAGTCAATAGATTACTGCTCTCCTGATCTTCACTACCACAATGTAAAGTCACTGCAACACCACAACAACAGGGAGACTTGACATCACAATCTTCCAGTGATTCGATCTTTCTTTTTAATCATTTTTATTTATTTATTTTCGTTATGGCAGAGTCTCTGTGCAATTTTGACGCCATTTTGCCCACCGACTTTACGACATAGGGATTACCTGAGCATAAGATATCCCAGCTTATTTCACCTGAGTATCATCAACCTAACCTACCCCCCCCCCCCCGTAACGTGAGAGAAGGGGGAGGGGGGTTCATCTTCAGGTGAAATAAACTGGGGGGGTATGTAATCTGTAGGTAGTCTAGCTTCTCTACACCACCACCCCCGCCCGGCTGAGGTACTGTACACGACCCTACTCTAGCGAAAACACACACACCATCCAGTTTATATTGTCCTGAGTCGAGAGTCGTGTTTGTTTACCTGTGTGACGTTCTCAATCTTCACATTAAACCCATTCTGTCATTGTTGTTTGACGGAAAGATTAAAGGTACGCCGACAATAGACTGTGACGGAGGTAACTGGGTGGGTGAGGAGACTGGACACGTCACCAGCCCGGACAATTTCGTGTGTGTGTGTTGAGTTGTATTTTTCATGCACAGGAAAATGCAGCATAACCTGGAGGTGGTGCTGGAGACATGTGGCATCTCCTGACAACCTTTGTACAGCAGGCACGCTTTCCCGTCGCCATGGATACCAACCCCGGCACTCCTTTCGCCTCTACCTGAGGCTGCTGGCGGGGCTGGTCTCACTCACCTCACAATAGTTATTCAATAAATTAAGCAAAAAAATAACATCATAGTGGTGGAGTACAAGTGAGAGGACTACGTGAGAGCAGCGTTAAGTATCGTGGGTTGCAGGGGAGCGTGGGGCGGCCATCGACCACGGGGGCTGCACCAAATATACCTCAGTGTGGCGTAGACACGGGGAGGAGACTAACCTGCCGCCGCTACCATCACCACCATCACCCACACACACGCCTTCACCACCCACAAAGGACCCTCGCCTGAGCCTACATTACACAACACTACACTACACTACACTACCTACACTACACTACACTCCCGTCCATGGTGGCTATCAGGATATTTCTCTCTGCAGGAGGAAACATCTCCAGTGAAAATAAGGTGCTTTCAAGGACGTCTTGGCTGCTTTGACGTTCGCGTGACTAATATACGCCGGTGGTGGTCTGGCTCACGAGTCACGACACGTCAGTCTATCTTCAGCACTCCAGTAGGAGGTGTCACCGCCCGCCTGTCCCTCCCACAACACATGAATCTACCCTGATTCTCCCGCAGGTGAGTGTCGAGATGTTCAGGTGCTCATTACCTCCCTATTTAAAGGTATGATAAACACCCCGTTGTACCGTCAGACCAGGGGACGTATTTGTATTATTGTGTGGACAAAACAGTGTGACATTATGATGGTCAGTAGCAGTGCCACCTGTTGTGCTGGCATCTCACATGTTAGTCACTGGGGCAGTGCCAACAACAACCTCGGGAGGGGGGGGGGAGGCATTGTGTCCCCGCCACAAGTTTACCAAAACAATCTTCAGATCTTCCATGACTTGCACGTTATGTTTCACCAAACCGGAGATAAGAGAATAAATGTATGCGACAGAAGCGAGTAAGACTTGGATGTTATCATGGCCACGTTCTCTGTGTCGAGGGTTTAGTGAGGCCGCTGAAGACCTCCTCACACATCCCGTCACAGAGAAAGATAAGCGTACGAACTTTAAAGAATTCTTCCTTTTTCTCCAGCTTAATGACCCAATTAGATTCGTGTCATATACCCATTTACCCCCTCCCTCACCCCACAAAAAAAACTCTTAATACCTGAACATCAGTCTTTGTTCTACAGTTAACTCAACCCCTAATATACGTTTCCACACTTCCAATTGGGACCCTAAAAAAAAAATCCTCGTAAGAACCTTTGAGAATTGACCTATAAGTCCTAACTTAAGATACGTTGCCAGTTTCTCACGCCCAGAAGAATAAAAAACTTTATCCCGAAACACAGGTACAATAGACACCTGAGAGTTCTTAATAACGTCCGTATATTCGTTAGTGATGATATTGTGTATGAACGACAATATTTACAGCCAAAAAAAAAAAGAAGAATGGAGCGATGCACATGAGATCTATTGCTTACTTATACACTTCCATAACTAATCACTATACCAAAACACAGAGGAAACTAATTATTACTCTGAAACAACTAATTCAAATTATAATATAATCATCCCATACGATAACTTAAAACTAATTAACTAATTCATCGAAAAATACGAAAAGTTATGTAATTTACTTTGTTTATACTTAATGTTATCAGTCCTGTGTGTTACTAGTGTTCCTTAAAGTAATACACATAAGTAACAGGAGCACTTAGGAGGAACAATACAGAGTTAGAAGCCTTGACCGCGTTACTTAATTCGATGGAGCTTACGTCACACCCTTCACCTTCACCTCCTCACCCTTCCGTTACCCCCCGTCAGTTGTTCGCCGTCTCTACTAATTATTTGGCTGTCAGTCGTTGAGGTAATTTGGGGGAGAGGAATGGGTGGTGCTGGGTGTTAGTGGTAGTGGTGGTGGTGGTTGTTGCTGGGGATGGTGGTGTTGCTGGAGTGGTGAGGTGGTGGGTGGTTGGGGTAGTGCTGAGTGGTGGTAGTGGTGGTGGTGGTGGGTGTGGTTGTTGCTGAGGATGGTGATGGGTGGTGCTGGGTGTTAGTGGTAGTGTGGTAGTGGTGGGTGGTTGTTGCTGGGGATGGTGATGGGTGGTAAGGTGGGTGTTAGTGGTGGGTGGTTGTTGCTGGGGATGGTGATGGGTGGTGCTGGGGGGTAGTGGGACTGACTATACAGGTCGTAAAATAACAAAACTTAATCCTCAATGTAATAAAAATACAAACTAAGCAAATTATGTACTTTTTCTTGATTAAAATGAAATAAACAACAAAATAAACATGATTTGAATCGCAATAACGGTGAAAATAAATAAATGGAGGTAATATTCATATCTTCACAGGGACTGGGGGGACCTTTGGTAAATAATAAAAATGACGTCAATTTGGATATTTTCACAGGGACTGGGGACCTCTGGTGAATAATAACACTGACGTCAACTGCACTGCCATAACACATCAAGGCCCTGGCACCGTCTGGCTCGCCTCTCCTCTCCCATATTAGCACCAGACAGTAATGTTGGAAGTTTAGTAGAACATAAAGGATGAATTATATGAGGATAAGAGAGCTTTGTTATTTTACTGTTATGAGGTCTTATGTGGGGTTAATAATTAGCGTGATAATGTGTGTGTGTGTGTGTGTGTGTGTGTGTGTGTGTGTTGACGTGTTGTTTACATGTGCAGTGATAAGCAGGGAACACTAATTCTTTCTACACTTTAAATAGGAAGTTATGTGAGGTCTGGAGGTCGCACGAGGTCAAGAGGTCCCACGGGGTTAGAAGCTCCCACGAGACCAAGAGGATTCACGAGGCCAGGAGGTCACGTAAAACCAAATGGCGGAGGATTGGGATTACAACCTGACAGATGTCGACTCATTCAACGTGACTGAAGATGATTGGCAGTCGACCGTCAACTCGACCTTTCTGGGTAAGTCCTGTGTGTGTGTGTGTGTGTGTGTGTGTGTGTGTGTGTGTGTGTGTGTGTGTGTACATTATAACGACAGGTGATCAATTACTCTGACTATCACACCTGAACACCCCCTCATTAACAGGTGTCATAATAATCTCTTCTCTACGTCAGGGTCACTGTTCTCCTGCGCTCA